CCATTCCACTATTCACCCATTGATATATACTTAGCAATAAAAGTAAAAGCAATAAAAAAACAATTGAAGGTTCTGGCTTGCATAGATCCTGACAATCTGGAGATATATTTACTTAATTTCTGAGGAGAAATTTTAGGAATCTTTTCTGACTGAAGGGATGTTTCTCCTTGGATTTTCATTACATTTCTTGATGATTCTTCCAGTAATCATCCATGAATTCTTGTGCATCAAATAATCCCTGCTTATAATGGCAGAGTATAACCTGTTCCCCACAGAAGATACTCCTTCAGCACTAGTGAACTATTGATTTGAGGAGGATAAATAGTGTCCTTTGCCTTCAAAAAGGGGAGAAAAGGGGATCCAAGAAACTACAGAATAGAACAGATATTGATAATTGTGGGGGTACTAAAACAGATTATAAAGTGATCAACATGTTGTAAGTACCTTGAAAACAATGCAGTGATTACTAGGAGGATTTGTCAAGAAAATGTCTTACCAGAATAGTTTTATTTCACTTTTGACTGTGTAACAAAATATCCCTTGACATTCTGATTCACAAGTTAATTAAATATTATCTAGATAAGGTTGGCTTGTATTCTTAAAATGCTCATCAACATTTCATCATCAGATTGGAGTGAAACAATATGTGGAGTGCTGCACTAGATACTTTCTGAGTATCTAGCATTGTTGTTAATGATTCAGAGGTTGAGGGAATGTTTATCAATTTGTAGGTGATGTAAACTTGGGTGGTATTTTCTTGCTAAGACTATCCTGCAATCATCTTAGCTTTAGAAAGTTCTGGAACAGTGCTCCATGAAGGTGCAGACCTCAAGTGTGTGAATACACAGATGAGCGTTTGAAGAATCATAGTTACAGGTAAGCAAACTCTCTTTCCAAGGCAGAACATCTGGTATAGTCACATTGTGATTTAAGTCATGTAGAAACAAGAAGAGCATAGACTTAAAAAGCTAGGAATTGTGTGTTATCACTAACTGAGTGTTGTATAGAAATGATGGCCAATTAATACCCTTGACTAACCTATTTCACAGGTTATGGGGAACACAGAATTGGGGAGGGGAAGAAAGGAAGATGGCGTGGCACTATGTTTCTCCCTTAATCTCGTTAGAGGAAAAGCAGGAGAAATGGCAAATAAATCAGTAAAATTAATTGTTCAGCTGAGGAGCACCCCATGTATCTTGTCCGTTTACCTCAAGACCTCTGCTACAATAAATCTGCTACAAATGTTATATTTGTCTGGCTTGCTGTAACTAACAGTGGGGAAGGCATTATGTTTCTACCCCCAGTTAACTCTCACTTGCCGCTACAACCGTAAGTTACTCTTTCCACTCACTCTCTCATCAGTTCTGGCCTTGGCATTTACCTTCCTACATCCCAAGCTCAGTCTGGGTCTGCCTGATTTATTGCATTCTCAATACCCTGTCTGATGGTGGGGACAGGGAGAGATACATTTTTATTTCCTTTTTTCTTCTGGCTTTACATGTCAGGTTCCCTGTGGTTGTCAGATGCCTGGATTCTGACAAGGACTGAGCCAATGGGACTGTTAGCTTGGCAAGGGAGAAAACAGGATGAATAAAGGTAGCTATTTACCATAATGTGTCCCAGGGACAGAGAAGACTGCAGTTGTCTTGAAGTAGTTTTTCTATTTAAAAAATGGAGGGGTAGAGACAGAAGAAAAATTCAAATCGTTAGTCCTCTCAACCTAGTAGGCAGGCACCAAATGCAAAATTGATTTTTTTCTTCCTCCCATGCCTTCTATGCAGCCTTGCTACCAGGTCAAGCAAAGCAGTCAACTATCTCCTGAACCTGAGTCAAAAATTAACAGCCAGAGCAAAAGTAGTATTTCATGCTCATTGATCATAGGAGTAAAGCAACATACTACTACTACCATGTGTTCACTAATGAATAAATATATCACATAACTCAGCTCTTGCCTTTGTCACCAAAATCCCGCATCTATCTTTTCTTCCCCAATTACGCCAGATGGAAGGAGAAAGAGAGAGAGCAGAATTCCACTGAAACCTGGCTTCAGGAGCAAAATGGAGAGGAATGCCCTGAGTCCCTTGGATCTGAGCCAAGAAAGGGGGATTGAAACTCTGAGCCAGTGGATTGGAAGGAAGGGGGATTGAAACATAATGGCTATTTGTTAGGCAGCATTTTTTTTTCATGAGTTCTTGAAAGAACCATGGCCAACAAGCAAGCTTTGTGGAGTAGGGCTCACAGCAGCAGTAATGGTAGCAAAAGGACGAGAGAGGGCATCAGGCCACTGTCTTCCATCATTTCTGGCCTAATATACATGAGATGGCAATAACAACAATAGTAACTGATGGTAGGGGAAATGAGATCAGTATGAAAAAAGGTAGCCTCCAGAGTATTAAATGTAAACCAATAATATGAAGGCTACCTGGAGTTTTTTCATCTGACTTCTGTCTTTAAAAAATCAATAGCTCTTTTGTGCTACAGAAGTGGGTTTCTTTGTATAAATTTTGTTCTCTTGTATCGGGAAGCTGATTTCTTTTGCAATATCCAAATATCATAGCATGTCTCATTTTCTGTTTTTGCTGATCCTAGTTACACAGTCTCACCAATGGTATTCTTGGGGTCCTCCTAACATGCAATGTCGTCTTTGTATATCTTGCTGGACATACTGGAAGAAATATGGTGGCTTGAAAATGCCAACACGGCTAGATGGAGAGCGACCAGGTCCAAACCGCAATAATGTGGTATGTTCATTCACAGTATTTATAGAGCATCTACCAGATACAGGCCAATACTATGCTTTTTCTCCTGGTCTATACACCATAAAAAGTTCATAAAAATAAGGCAGATCTGGATCTTCTGCACCATTTTAATCTCTCCCAATAGAGGCAATTTTGGTTTTTCTCTGAGGAAAGGACTGGCATAAATGGAAAGAGAAAAAAGTAAGCCCTTTAAAAAAAACAAAAACAAGCAAGGTGGTACTATTAACTCTGAATGAAGTTAGTCCATAAACTGACATGTTTAACAGCACCATGCCTTTTTCAACTCCCACTTTTTTTCCAAAAATTGTGTCTTAATTAGCTGTGTTTACATCACTTTCTATATAATATTTGTTTCTCTTTTTCTGTCCTTACATCAATATATGCCTTTTAGTTTCCTATCTCTACCATGTTTTTGCTTTCCTTCGGTTCTGTTGCTCCTTCAAATACCTCCCTTATTTATTATCTCAGATTTTAATTATGTATATTCTGTATAATGTGACTCATATTCCTTTGGCTTATGCTTGAATGTCTCCCTGAGCCAACACTGCCCTTCCTATTTGGGTGAGATTAAAGACATTTCCTTTGATGGCATTTGCCTGAAGAGTCTACCAATTATCAGTCACAATAGAGTTAAAATATGAACTGGCTCCTGCATGACAAAACTAGACTGCCAACTTCCTTAAAAAATTTTTTTAAATTTATAAATGTAAAAAATAAGTCAGGAAAAGCAGGAAGCCTGGCAGGCTCCAAGCAAGGTGTTTGTGGGCATAGTGATGCCCCTGACTCCCATGTTGGAATCCAAAGCCATACATAGTCTTTTTCACATTCATCTGAACATATATACACATACATAAATTTTACATTTTTCATTCCTGCTGGCAATTTAAGGAGGGAGAAAAGTTAATTACACCTGTAATCATACCAGCAGGCCCACCCTGTTTTTGCCATTGGTGCCTATGCCTTACTTTTTTGTAGCTGTTATTTCTGGACAGCAAATTCCATTTCATGCACTGCAATTCACAATTTCACCAGATCAAGTATTGAGACCCAAAGCGATATCAATTTTCTATAGAAGAAAGAACATTTTTATTTATAGTCAATGACTAGCAGAATAGCTACAGCCCCAAAACAGCACATAAAAGCAGGCTCAAATACAATAAGAGCAATAAAACCACCATATAGACCTGCCAATTAAAATTTTCACATATAAGAAGTTAACAAAAGAGAACAAAATATAACAGAGGAAAACAGATAAAATAAGAGTAAATTTTAGGTAAAAGAATAAAATAACTTCCAATAAAAACTTTGCAACCCTGTTTGTAATAACAGGGTTCCCATCTGAAAGTACAAAACAAACCACCTCTCCTCATTGAAAGCTTGAACTATACTAGGAGGTGGTATAGGGATACCAGCACATGAATTCTTGTAGAAGGTACAATGAAAATATATCTGCATTAAGGTCTCAGGTTCATTCTGGTCACAGGAACAATTTCTCTCATCAAATGTGATTTTATGAAATCTCCCATCCAATACTGCTAAGGGGAGAAGATTAGAGTGGGCCAAAATGAAGAATTTACAGTATGGTGAGCAAACTAGATTGAACAGTCTAAAAGATTTCCAGTAAGGAAACCTACTCTTCCAGGTTACCTATACTGTTCAAGTCGGTCTGATGTGCAGTATCAAAGACTCTTTGGCAAATCTCGGGTTTTGGTTTCTCTAGGCTTAGAGGTAGAAAAGAATGGATGGAAAGGTAGCAATAACACAGGTTAGCCATGATTTTTAGTCTCCACTGGACAACCCTGTGACCCGTTGGGTCACCTTTTGAGAGAAAGATAGTGCAGTTTGATGTGACCTGAATGATCATTAAATTTTAGGCTGACCATATTTTTTTTATCTCAATGCTGGACAATCCCATGATCATTAAGAAGAGTATATATCATAAATATAAAAATAATTGTAGTGGCAAACGAACTTCAATAATTAAGTCAATATTTACTTACCTAAACAGATAAACAGAATGACCATGGCAGGCAAACAGCAGTGGGAGAGGGATCAACTTCCAACTTCTTGCCAGCTTCCCCATTGACTTAGCTTATGGGGAGTTGGCAGGAAGCGTCAGAAATCACAACCACGTGACTGCGGGGACACTGCAACAGCCACAACTTTGCAAATAAAACTGGTCTGAACGTCATGGAAATTTCAATTCCACAGGAATAATAGTTTCCAGATTTTTTACACATTCTTTAAGTTAGCGGATTTTAGGTACCTTGATTCAAAAACTGTTGCGGTATAATGCACTGTTTGGGGTAACTTGAGGACAATAGATAAACACAGAGACAAACAGTTAAACACAATAAGAGTTTTAGTAGCATATAGAAGATTGTGATGTGAATTCATTAAAAAGAATTAGTGGGGCTAGTGGGCCAAGAGAAAATAGAAATTTAAGCCAATAAAACAGATGGCAAGCCTGGACTCTTGCGTCCAGTGGGATGCTTCCTGTTTCAATGTGAATTAGAACATTTGGAACACAACATGGAACCTAGAAGAATGTTCACAAAAATTTAGATTGGACAGCATCCAGGGGCTTCAGATTGTTGTAGCTGCATATCTGTGCCCTATACAGCATCTGGGATATAGATTTAGCTTTAAATAACTTAATGGCTGCAGGTATGCATCTACCTCCCTTAGAGTGAAAAAGGTCCAGGATTGCCTTGGCACTTGGCTTTGGCAAAGATGACTCTAGATTGTTGCTGCCAACTTCCAGAGGCTTGAAAATTACTCCCAGATATTTAAAAGCTGGAACTTGTTCTATTTTGTTAGTCCCTGTTTTGCCATTCATGTTTATGGCAACTCAGTCTTCATGAGAAGACCATAATTTTAGTATTGGAGTAATTAATTGTAAACCCTTCCTCCTTGCAGAGTTTTCCTAAGCCCTGCAGACTTCTCCTAAGACCCACCTGTGTAAGCTAGAAAATTGCTGCATCGTCAGTGTACAGGAGCATTGCCAAATATCTGTCCCTGAGCTTAAGGGAGATGGAATTCTTTTTTTAGTAAGAACAGCAACCACTGAGTTTACATAAATATTAAATGGTAGGGGAGCTAAAATGCATCCCTGTTTCACTCCTCGGCTGATTGGAATATCTGCAGTAAGATAGTCAGCTTTATTTTACCTAACATGAGTGACTGTGTTTTCATGCAACATCCTGAGAGTTGCAAATAGCCTTTGGTCCATAGATGTAAGGACAAACTACCACCAGAGTCTATTTCTTGGGATGGAATTGAAGGCTGAGGAGCCCTCCAATCAGCATTTCCCTTCAGCAGCTTGCATAGTATTTGGTCACTGCTGAGTATTTGGTCACTTTCCCACTTTTCTGTTGATTTATTAGTTTCAGAATCCCTGAGTGGGAGACGGGGGGGCCATAGAGGGATGCTCATTTGGGGGCCAATAGATGGAGAGAGAATAAAGTGTGCTATAAAGTGTATACTATAGAACTTTTCCCATTTAGCAGCTGGTATCCCAGCCTCCAATTTTTGGCTCCTGTTCTGTGATGGACAGGTAATTAGCCTCCAGAATAGAGAGGTATTCTTACTCCTTGTAACTTGGAAAATTTGCTCCCAATTTGCCCTGACAAAAGCCTGTTTTTTCATTTTGGTTATATTTTTATAATGCCTTTTTTGGTTGATTAGCTGGCTTTTAGGCAATAAATGTGGGCAATAGCTGTATCTATGGGTCTTGAAGTCTCTTGTTAGTTCTCCCCTGGCAGAAATGCACTCTTGATTAAACCATGATTTCCAAGGGATACCAGCAGGTCTTCTCCTAGCCTGGAGGTGAGATTTTAGGAGCAGCTGGATGGCACTTTTAATAAGTGGCTAGGGCTTCTCAGGTTGATAGCAGATGTGGGGTTTGGAGAACTCATTGGTTAGTGAAGTTGTATCCACTGCACCCATGTTGCAGTCCATTTAATCTTGTGACTGATTGAACTCTGCAGACACTGTTTTGACTTACAACATTAGCTGAATGAGGTGGATGATTGTTATAGTCCAAGTGGAGTAGTAAAGGGTGGTCAGAGTCCAACTTTAAAAATGAGCACCTTGTTAAATTGTGTGAGGTCAATCATGCTCAACCTTCAGGTCCCCCAGTATGTGACTTCTCCTTGTTTAATAAGCATTGCTGAAGGCCCCTAGGAAGATATACTAAGTGCCAACCTGCCATGTTGATTCCCAAGTCCCTGGAGTGCTGTACTTTATTATCCAGCTATCTATCAGAAGAAGAGAGACACCTGCCAAAGTGGAAGAAGAGCACTGTGTCATTGGGTCCAATCCTGACATTAAAATCATCTGTCATTATTAGGGCTGTATTTGGGTGTTCTGTGATTTTAAATATTAGCTGTCCAGTTTATCCCAAAGCATGTTGGTTAAGCAGAACAGCCTACAAGGAGGAAGGTAAACTTCGACAAGTAAGAGATCTTGATTGGGTAGATTAATTAGGACACTAGGGCCAAGTTCCCACAGGATTCAAGTTTAGTGGTTATAACACTGGGGGTTTTTTGATCAGAGCACAAAGTCCCTTGGAAGCCCAGCCTGTAAGCACTCTCATTGTGACTTCCAAAGAGTGTGCAGCGCTCTTTTCTATATGATTCAGTATAAATAATTTTGCCACTTTTCTTCTTATGCCAAGGATTAAAAATAGCAGATTTTATCTTTTGGATGTCCATTGTGTGTTTGCATTGCATGAATCTATTTTGCCAAGGCCTTTATATTTTCCGTTATGGTGTGCATAGTAAGGGCCAGTTTGCTTTCATGAAAAACATCTCATGGCAATTGGCCTATATTTATTTATTTATTTTATTTATTTATATTTCAGATTTGTCACCTCCCATCTCACTGCGGAGTGACTCTGGGCGGTTTACAGTAAAAACAGAATAAACATTAATTAAAATAGATAAATATTAATTAATTAATTAAAATATGCTAAAAGACAA